CTCCTTTTGCCTTTGTGTACTTTTAGGTTTGTAAGCTCATCCAAAGGGTTTGATGTAAATCCTTTATAGCACATAGATAAAAATCTCATGTACACTCGGGCATTCCTAAACATCTCCAAGGGACATTTTTCTATGAACAAAGAAGCTTACAGACTTTAATATACCTTTAATTTCACAAATGTATTATTTGTGGTATTAATACGTTATTCAATGGATGTTAACAGTAAAGATGAACTATTACCATGGTACTCTGGTAATATTTAATGATATTGTACGCTATTGGAATTTGTATTTTGTCTATAAAGGTATTTTAGGAGACTCCTGTTTGCTTTATTTATCCTTGAGATGTGTCCAGAGCTTGATTGAATGTACCTGTGACAAAGTGAATGGATTTTTCATAGTTTAAAAATGCACACGCCTGTGTATATAAGATCCAAATATTCACACTGCACAACAGAACAAAATCCAAGCCATGAAATCCAAGGATACAATTATTGCAATAAAATTATGACTCGGTATAGATCAGGGAAAGAGTATGAAATGATTTCTACACACTGTTCCCAGGAGCACAGTGGCTTCAATAATTGTGGAATAGACGATGTTAAAATACACCAGGACACTCCTAGACTTTCCGTTGTTAAGAGAGGTGACTAATAATCCAGCGGTCACTCTAAACAAGCTTCAGAAAACCTCCGCACAGAGGGAGAACCTGTCGGAAGGACGGTCATCTCAGCAGCATTTTTCAGTCAGGACTTTATGATAATGCGGCCAGACCACAGCCACTTTGAGTAAAAAGCATACGACAGTCTGATTGCAGTTTGCCAAATGACATTTAAAGGACTCTGACAGCATACGGAAAAAATATTCTCTGGTGTGATGAGAAAAAAAAATCCAATGCTTGATGAACAGCAGACACTGCTCCTCACTTGGCTAATACTGTCCCTGCAGCAAAACATGGTGATTGCAGCATCATGCTAAGCAGCAGCAGGAACTGGAAGTCTGTTCAGAATTGAAGGACGAGTTAATGCTGCTAGCAGAGAAGTGCTTTAAGAAAACCTCCTTAGAGTATACGATGAGGCAACAGTTCACCTTTCAGTATGACAATCGCCAAAAGCCTAAAACCAACCCAACTTTGGATTTACATTTGAGACAGTTCATTGTCCCAACAAAGCCCAGATTTAAACCTGCTGCAACATCTGTGCAGAGATCTTAAGAAAGTCGTTCATATTCACATCCAATCCCAACTGTTGGATCTAATGATGTGTCCGATCAGGATAAACTGCCCAAATCCAGGTGTGGAAAGTTTGCAGACTTCCCAAGAAGACGGAACTCTGCAATTGCTGCCCCTGAATCAGAGGTTCATTGTTTACAATAATAAGAATGTGTTGTTTTTGCTTTTCATGTTAATCAATTTGCAATAATGTTTAAAACATATGTTTTGAAGTGTCATCGTGGCTAATCAAATGTAGAAAGATTGGCAGATATATCAGTTTTATTTATTTAAAT